TTACATTGAGAAATGATACGACGCATATTCCGTTCTGACACCTATGACCTACATGATCAACCGCATATGTAAACAATAACCTTGATGGAGAAAATAAGCTTCAGTACTTATTATTAACTAAGCTAATAAACACAATCAAGTACTTATAGATACACTCATGCTCACGCTAACGCGCACCAAACAAAAATTAAATCTATGTGATGACACATACGACTAAAAAATTGAGCTATTGAGTTAAAATTGTACATAAATCAACAACAAAAGTATTTGTTTGATCATTCTGATCATACAAAGAAAATAATTATGTTTAACTACGATTTGAACGGTAACTGCTTACTTCTGCAACGTAAAATACAAAAAGTACTTACGAGATTCGCCACCGCTACTCTTCAATATCTCTCACATTTATCACTGGCACCAATCAACTAACAACAAACACAATGCACTTCACTGAAATTCCACAAAAAGTTAATCAATATTATAGTTCCATAGTTTTTAAATCCTAATGNAATCTAAGTTTGTACTTTGTATTAATAATATGTTATATGTAATAGTAATACCAATTATTAAATTAATTGTATACCTATTGTGATAAATAATTAATAACTAATAATATAATTGAATTAATTAAATATTTATAAATTCTTCCCCTCTCTTAGAATGCTGTGCCCGACAGGGTCCATAATTGTATCTTATAAAACCATACATACCACCTCTGTAACATTATGGATGCAATAAAGAATTGAGTATTGAGTATTGAGTATTGAAAATTTAAAAGGCGTAGTTGTAATTTGCGAATGCAAGCAGTTTGTGATGTTTTTCGTAAACCTACTTTCGTTTGACGGGTTAGATAATGTAGAAAGAAGAGGCGCTAAATCAAATTCAAAGTCAATTAATAAAAACAAAGAGATTTTTCATAGTTGAAAGTTATTTTAGCCATTTTTAGGTCATGTAATCATTTCAAAGGCTTATAATTGCGAAACCTTACTCAAATAACGAAAGTGATTTAACAATTACGCCAAACTTCTCACTTTCCAATGAAAATTGATACGTACCGCCGTCAGGCTAACCCGTTGTTAACTTACGGTTAATTAGTCATTGATTAACACTAATCACCGTTTAACTGTGGGGGACGATTTGATTTGACATTTGGGTGGTAACAGTATTTTAGGAAGTACCTAATATTACAACGCGGAATTTTATAATTTCTTTGATTAAATTGATTGCACATTCCTTAAAATAAAAAAATAATTAACTGCCCTTAAGTAAGAAGAATAGTTGATTGATTTTACAAATACATAGGTATGTAAAATTAATTAACTACATAACTTCTTTAACATACTCTATGATAGTTTTAGCAGTTTTAGGGTTATAGAAACAGCTGTGCAATAGATCAGTACGGTCAGTCAATTTTCGTTAATTAATTAACAGTACTTATGATTTGATTTGATTAATCTCAATTGAAAAGTAATATTCCAGCAATAATATGAAATTTTCACTTCTAAATATGGTCTAAAATCTATTTCATTTGACTAAATGAAATCACTTTAAGTAGCAGAGAAAGTGTAAAACCGGCAAATGACATACTAGTGTATGAACGCAAGCGCATATTACGTCTGCATGTGCGATCAACACCATAATGTTCGGTATGAAGTATGTTTTCCTTCAAAGCAAATCAAATCAACTATTTTATTTGCTCAAAACGGTAATACAATTATTTAGATATTTTATAATGTGGTGTGCTCATGTTTTTCTTCATAGACAAAGGATCCAAATATTAAGATTTAGAATAATTCAATTGAATTTAAATGTCATACAAAACATGTAGTCAATTTATCAATATTAAAATTACAATATTAGTCTGGAACCCAGACCTTCAACTAGAGACTTTAGAAAAATGAAAATAATAGTAAATGATTTTATTGTTTCCTATTTAAATACGAACTAATAACGCTCTTTTATTAATCTGTGGCCGATGGGCTGGGCCGCTCAGTGCTGTCAACATTCAAATTAAGAATTACAGATGTCAATCCAGGCTGGGTGGATCGGGAAAATATCACTGCGCGGGCGCCACCCAAAGATTGTTTTTGAAATGTTGTAGTTTGAATAAAATTGTGGAAATTAAACTTTAAAGGCCTTTGTTAGAGTAGGTTGAACGAACGAACGAAACTTCGAATTTAAGTTATTAAGTATGGTTTCAAAATGTAACATAACGGTAATCATTAAAAATGAAACTGTATGTGTACTGCACATAATAAATCCTTTTTTTCTGTCCATAAATGCAGTTCCTAACTGCACTTTATGCAATAGCTATGGGAACCTTTATCTATTGAACTGCATTGTTTCTCATGTTATAATGTCTTGTTACTGTAGGGACTGTAAACCAAATGATGTTTATGGCTTGGTTGTTAACTTTGATTTAAAAAAAAAATATGATCAATAATAAGAAGATTTCAGACAACGGCTTTTTGAAAATCTATAGGACATTCTGACATGAGTCAAATTCGAAATAATTGAGTATGAATGACGCCTAGGTTACAATTTAGATCAAGATAATAATAATTATGATAAGACTAAGGCTGAGTTGCACCACCTAACTTTAACCGTAACTATAACGATAACCGGTGTATTTTGTATGGAGTTTGGCAGATTTTTGACGTTTGTTAAAGTCAAAGTAAGGTGGTGCAACTCAGACTAAGAAGCAACAAATAGCCGTACGGTGAAGGTGTCGGACTGGCCGACATGTGATCATCTCTCTTTCTCTCTCTCACATAAGCAAAAGGATAGAGAATTTAGAGATCTATGTATCATATGAGCTGGAGTAACACATGCCTACATTAAATAAAATTTTGTTGATGCATAATATGTGCAGGTATAGTCGGAAGAGTGTGGGATCTAAGCACTAAAGTTTACTGTTTACCGACAAACGGTAAGCGACTGCGGTTACGTAGAGTCGTTGAACTTCCACCGTGAGATTTCCTTCCTTCCGCTTCGTGTCCATTAGTCTAGACTAGAGACACGGTGATAAATCGATGAAATTCTATTTACCCACGATTCAAACGAAATCTGATTGATGTATGTATTTGGGTGTCTCTCAGTGACATTATGGTTCCAAATAGATAACCCAAATTCGATAGATTTTTACAAAATTTTCTTTAAAATATTAGCCTATGCGCAGACAACAGGCACAACTATCGATGGTCTGCGCCTAGTCTTATTGTTTTTAGTAAGAGCACATACAATTAATAAGCTTTGTTTTCCCGGAAATGAGTCTTAGATATTCCGCTCTTTATTTTTGGCAGCAATAAACGAATGAATAATACCTACGTCTTCAGCAGTATTTCATGTTTTATACAAAAAAAATACTGCGTTTATTCCCAAGCCCTCTTCTTGAGACTATTAGTAGTAGACTTTTTTTGGTGTAATTAGAATAATTTAACAGTTTGGGTAATTTAACAAATTATGAATAAGAGATTCGTACAATTAATTCTACGATTCAATTCAATAGAGCCATAGAGAAAACTGGCCGTTGACATAAGGCATTTCACAACCTGGCTGTTTGTATTCGAACCGGCGATGACCCCTGGGGACACCGATTAGCATAATAGGGAAAGTATGGTCCAATGAATGAGGAGGATGGTCAGCAAAAACGCCACAACGAAATGAATCACATAAATATTGGGAATAATCGGATTTTTAGTAAGACACTTGCAATGATTTGCGAACGCTCCTTTACGAGACACAATTTTTAACTTTTGAAGCCCAAAAGTTAAACAAAAAGCGATGAGATAAAAATCAACTTACCTATTAAAAAATGTGGAATACTTTTTCTTTGAAGAAATAAAACCAGCCCATTCTGACAAAAATAAAAAATAACATTGAAAAAAGGTTTTGCTGAACATATTTTAGAGCAATGAAGGTAAAAAATATAAATGATAGCTACGAAATATGAATATCAAAGTACTTTCATACATCTTATTAACATAGTTACCTACAATTCATTCAAGTACCTAACAAATCATTGTAATGCTTTGTAATGATGAGTAACTAGTCAGTTATAATGAGATATTTGAAGCCTATTTTGTGTAATCATCATTACGTAGTGGTGATCGTTTCCGTTGATACACTTTTACCTATGATTGTAATAAGATGAGTATGCTTACCAATTGTTAAGAGGAAATATGAATAAAAAAAGGAAAAACTAAAACAACAACTACAAATGATATAACACACCACACCATATCCAACAGTTACCGATTAGCTGTGCTAAGTAACTGATAGTTATTTCAATTCGACAGAGATACAAACCAACAATGATTTCAATGAAAATACTATCATTCACACCGGATTTTAAATCTCCAGAGTTGTGTTAGTTGTTCATGATAACGATGGAAATCATAACATTGCCGTATTCTTTGACAAAGACGCGTAAATAGGTAGTTTTCACAGCAAATACCAAACCAAACCATGTGCCAGACAAATATCTGATCCGAAGAAATCTCAAGCCAAGCCAAGCCATCCATCTCGGCTGAAGCGCACACTACTTTCATCTGCAATTAACTGCGCACGCACACTCAACTTGTAACGCGGTTTATTAATAAAACTCTAGAAGATAAACACAAAATAAGTGAAATGACAAATTGTAAACCAAAATGTTATAAATTGTAGCAGAGACGAACGTCTAATTGGCGTCGCACTTTTTATTTTTAATGTTTGTGAATTCTTTGTAAATGTTAATCAAAAAAACTTTCTAGCCAATTCTTCAATATCATTAAATAAATAAATGTAGGTATGTCTTGAATTCTAGATTACAAGATCAAATTCTTAACAATAGCATTTTTAGAGCCACATAAAATAAATTAAGGTTTCTGAAGCATTAAACAAAAAAACATGATGCATTTTTTCCCAAATCAAACCTATGTAATTATACAGTCTTCAAATAGATAGCTAACTGAATAATAAATTCTACTAACCACATCTTTTTCTTTCTTTCTTTCCAGATAACAGTCACGTCAACATGTGTAAAAGCAGAGGACGACAGGCAAAAAAGAGAACTTTCAATAGGCAAATCAAAGAGACTCCTCAAAAGAGACGCAGCGATACTCATTGACAATTTCCCAGTAGAACCAGTGTACACCCACAAACCAAAAGTGATCTACCGAAGAGTGTCCCGGCAAAGGTACGGCCCACCGAAACCCAAACCAAAGTATGGACCTCCCAGACCTAAATATGGACCCCCGCCAAAGTTACGGAAACCTGCGAAAAAGTACAGAAAGCAAATCAGTACCAAATACGGACCACCGAGTCACAAAAAGAGGACTTCAAAGCCTAGGTATGGCCCACCAAAGCGTCCAACTAACAAACCAATCTATGGTCCACCCAAGAAGGTTCCATCACATTACTATACGCCTGAACCAGCAGGTTTCGCAGAACCGCCAGCGGATTATGAACCTCATCCACAGCCTCATCAAAATTATGCCGAGCCACCTGTCGACTCCTATGGAGCTCCCTTGAAAACCACGGTGAGCGACGTCTACCCTACCGCACAAGCTTACGAAAACCCCAATTATTTCGAAAATCAAGACTTTGGTCAAGAATATCAATCCTGGCAGAACTATGGCCGTGAACCAAACCAAGACAATTCTTACGCTTACTCGAAGAAACGACCACTGTTTGTCAAACCTGACGAAATGTTCGACAGCCCACAAAATCAAGAGGAAGATTTTAACTTGAATTCATATTCAGACGCGTTTACTTATAGCCAGAACTTCAAAGAGCCCCAGTACTTGCACAACAAGAGAAAGAAGCCCCAATATTTCACAGATACAAACAAACAAGTAAATAAGCATTGGAAAGCGCCTAGGTTTAGACAAGAGAACAAACCAGAGCCTGACGATGAGATACTAGTTGGAGGGCAGTACGCAGAGCCCCCGCCTAGATACGTGCCAAAATTTCAGCCTAGTGCCCCTATGTTCAATGGGGAAGATGATTTTGCCCCGCCACAAAGTTTTCTGGACTCCGAAGTAGCTGCATCAGCCACCATCTCACCATACGTTAATTATAAGCACAGTAACATGGCCTTCAGCCCACAGAACCTTAACGACGCGTTTAGTATAGTAGATAAATAGTAAATTATTTTAGAAAGCAGACTTGTTGATCTGCGTCTAATAAAATTGTTGTTTAAACTTGTAATTTTTCCGAATTTACACTTTCAATACGTACAAAGCAGCCGACCAGTTCATACAACTTTCTCTATCGATTATCAATTATTCTAGGTATGAAATTGTGCAATATTGTTGAAATTTGTAAATGACGATTGACTGAATGTTTATTTAAGTTAATTTAATAAATTGTGTAAGAAATATAGTGCATACTATTTCATTTGGTTTTAAGCGGATGTAAACAAATAAAACATTCGTCATACATGATTCAAACTATATTATCAGAAGCTTATCAAAGTTCTATCAAAAAGCTTAAATGACACATCTTAACACATGTAATTACAAAACTAAGTAAATCAAGTTAATCTAAAATTCCTGACGTCCTATCCACTCATTCTGTTACACGTGACATCTAAATCGTCCTGGGATATGGGTTTGTTGGTTGTACATAAAATAAATCGCAAATCTTACCAGAGAACTTGACACAGAAACGTAGTTGTGATCTCAATCACTTATGTTAGTCTAGATCATCATCGTCCATTCTTAGATTCTTTGGGAGCGAGTTCTTTTTGGTCAGAGATGTGTTTCTTTCTCCGTGCATTACCGCAGGCTGCCCTGGCGGCTTCGCAGGCACAATGCGCCGCTTGCTTCGTGGCAGAACATTCGGCGCAGGCGCATTGTAGCTTGTGCTGTAGATGCGCCAGCCGAGCTCTAGCCTCCGATAAGTTGTGACACTTCTCCTGCAGACCAAACTTCGTCTTCTCCAGAACGCAATGTGCAGATTTCTCCAACTGTGCCGCAAGCTGGGTCGCTTGCATCATCAGTTTATGCTGGAATAACAATATCAATCACATCGTTACCTATTGCAAGTATGTGTACACCTAAGTATCTTACTTTTGGAAGCAAAAATAAACATCAAAAGTGGCAATTAATTAATGACTTTATTAAATCACAACATTTTTGACGTTACACTGTATTTATCCACCATTCAAAATAATAAATTAACACTATTTATTTTCTTTTGCCAGAACAGAAACATGATAATTTTCCTGATATTGCCTTCATACAAACTGGAGCACAGGACAGCAGTCCTGCGGCTAGTATGAACGTGTATAGTGTCATGCAAATCATTCTCCCTTTTTTCTTAGATTGCTTCAATCATCAATTCTTGTGGATCGAAGTCCTTGAAACAAAGAAAAAACAAAGCTTTACGAAGTGTTCCCGATAGAAGAAGAGGCTCTTCAACAATTACTACCATTGACAACAATTTTGACAAGTGCATCTAATCAAAACAACTTGTGGTAGTAACCGCATCGATATGGCCATTGCAAAACTTCGTAAAACTTTGATTTCTTGTTTCTGTGCAGCCCGGTAGAAATTGTTGAAGAATAATGACTTGAATACAAACACAAGATGAATGGAACCCATTTGAACTAACTACATTAATGTAGTCCTTTATAACTCTGAAGAAAAACGTAGGTGTTAAGCCCGCTTTCAGTTAGGTCACAATAGACAGATTAAAACTGTGATATAAAAATTGCTGCGTACTTAATTTCCTGACAGAGTGCATTCATCATGTTTTGTTATCGTACTTAATAAAGTTCGTTTGAACAATGCAGTCTAAGTCTTTATGTGAATTTAAATCTTCGTAACCACATTATAAAAAGATACTCGTATCGAGACAATTATGACAATACGTAAGAACTATGGAGAATGAAACGATAATATTAAATCTTACTGCTTGGACACTTAGCATGAATAAGAAGATACGTTATTCAAGTTTGAAACTACTACAATGTATACTAAAGTTAGATAGATACTAAAGTTAGATAGATACTAAAGTTAGATAGATACTAAAGCATATTTCTATAAGACTACAATTAAATCAAGATTCACATTAAGAAAGATCTGAATGTGACAGAGCATTGAATTTGTTAAGCTCAAAATGAGAAAACTGAAGACTAACGCCCGTATTCACAAACGATGCTTGCTTAAGTGAAGCAGTAAAACGAACGCACAGCGTTGAATAAAGCTCTGTGATTGGTTAGTCTGTCATCCAGTGCGTACACGCGCACTGTGAGACCTCATAGTAATGTTTGTGAATATGGGCGTAAAGTCTCAAGAGTCAATTTTCTAGGATTACAATAATAACTTATATTTTTACCTGTGCTGTGGCTTGCTGTGCAGCTGCTACAGCCGCATTGACAGTGCTTTGTTGTTGATGCACTGCCGCTGTATTCTCAGCGACCACAGCTTCAGCCTCCTTCACTTCTTGCTGCAGTTGTTCTACCACCGCTTGTTTTCCAGCAAGTGCTGCTTCAGCTGCTTTTGCTGCTTGAAGCGCTTTCTCGGCTAGTTGAGTTTTTACCTGTTGAATTTAAATAACTTTAACTTAACTGTCAATGAAATAGTAAATTGTGATTTTATATTTTAGTAGGAGCACGATTACAGCAAGAACGAATTAAGGACCCATCACAAATCAAAACTTCCACATCTCTTTTGAGTTTATAAAACAAGCCTTCATGCTATCAGTACAAGGAAGCCTTTTACACTATACATAACGCATAGTATTTATGATTCGTGATGAACTTATTTCATACTCCTTTCTTAGTTAATAAAAGTATAAAAATCTCTTGTACCTATTATTCAACACTGACAGAAGTAAATAGTAAATACTGTGCTGAATTTTGCCGTTCAAGACAAGACATAAACAATAGCTTGCTAACCATATGCGCTGCCTGAGCACCAGCAGCGTTCTGAGCAGCCTGAGCTGCCTTAGCTTCTGCAGCAGCTTTCTGCGCTATACTCGTCGCACACTTCCCTTTGCAGTCTCGCGGCGTCTCCCGCACTTTATTCTCCTTCTTCTCCAACTGTAACTGCTGCAATTGAGGCAGCTGTAACTTCTCCGCCGCCCTCCTCTCCGGAAAACCCCAAACTGTCACCCCCCAAAACGTCAGCAACACCAAAACCAAAAGTCTCATTTATACGCACTTTATACTACCTAAAATACAACTGCAACTAACACGGCAATGCGAAATTGCCCACTAAAAACTAAAAGACTACATAGATTTTCACTTTTAAAGAATGGTGGATAAAAAATTTTGCTCAGGATCGACACAAACAAATCACGATCAGATGGTTTGTCAGATTGACAGAGATCATCATTGATAGTTCTAAATTAGAAAACCTCTCTTGTCAGGTTGTGATTATAGAAGAATGTTATCAAATATTTTTTTATTGATTAATTAATTTAATATTATATTTGAACTGTAAAACGATAAGCATATCTAATTTATTGACACCATACAAATATTTTCTTTCTAGAAAATCGTGAGCTTGACTTGATGCTGGCCGAGATTTTTTTCAGATTTCAAAAAGAATAATTCATTCAAATAATGACAGTGTCATTTGTAAAATCTTGCCAAGTTGTGTGTTTTATGCAAAAAAACATGAGTTTAGGAAACTGAGGACAAATTACCGAAATTATGCATGCCTTTATACTCCCTGTGTAACTTTCTTTCTTGGTGAGGTATCGGGGCACGCCTCGTAAGGAAAGCACATAGGATTGGTGGCTGTCATTGTACAGAGTCTGTAAAACAGGTCAGTATTCCAGTCTGGTTTGAATTTAATAAAGCTTAGTAATTGCTTACTTAAAAATCATATTTCCTAGTACTAATTCAGTGTCTCAGACTACATAACTCTCCCCAGTGTAAAATAGGTTAGAATCATAATATTAATTTTTAGCGCTAAACTTCAAGTATAATTTAAAAAGTACTAATTCAGTGTCTCAGACTACATAACTCTCCCCAGTGTAAAATAGGTTAGAATCATAATATTAATTTTTAGCGCTAAACTTCAAGTATAATTTAAAACTCCTTTCAGCGCAGAGCAGTAGTTCACCGTTTAGTTTACCTTATTAGTGCATCGTCGAAATCTTTTGTGGACATAGAAAATAGGTTGACTTTCGACAAGTTCATCGGTCACCTCAGGTCTAAGCGTCTACTTGTTGTTTCCAGATACACCCAGAGGCAGCTCTGCTGCTGTCATTACCAGTCAAGACCCGATATCAAGGTGGCTCACCGCCCTCGAACTTTGTAAAAGATGATTTGCCTCTCACTGTACGCCCTGATCGCCTCAGCTACGATCTTGGCGTGCGTGCCCGTCTGCTACAGGCAATTTGAAATGCACAAATTCGTCAAGTGCCTCAAGAAGTAACCCAGCTATGATAATCTGCATGACATGCATGACGGCCCTCATAGCAGCAGGATGTGTTTCCTGTGCCCCCATACTCCTAGACACGTACTGGCCTTTCAAAAAGTGCTGCGATACGAGCAAGCCAGAAAACACCTTATCAACCTGCAAGAGTCCTTGCTGTCCGAAAAAATCAACTGAATAAATTGTTGTCGTCGTGTATGTTTAAGAGGTTTTAATAAATGTTTTATTTCTCAGTTCTTGATGCTTTCACTTTGATAGACACCAAGTCCCATCAAGGTAATAGCTATTTGAAGACGAGTAAGAAACTAATTTAGTAAATTAGTAATAATTAAAGTAAATCAGGACACTTCTAAGATTGCCTTTCGTGTTCTTCTTCAGTAATTTTTGCCTCTAATTAGATTATTTATTTGCAAGGATCTGTTAGAGTACCTTCTTGCTCCTTTCAGTTATTTACCTGCCTACCTTTACTGTTTGTACTTAGAGACTAACCCCTTTTAGGAAATCCCTTACATTGAATATTCATGTGCGTTCCCTTCGAGAGGCCACTGTGGAAAACGAAGGTTNGTACCTATTGTGTTTAGACGTCATAAAAACACGTTAAACTACAATTTTTGGAGGCTGCATAAACTTTCTCCTACCGTGCTTCTACTTTCTGTTCATAAAAGTTTTTTCGTATGTGTAAACTTTTTACTTCGAGGATTATGATGAAGCCAAACCTCTTTTTTCTTCCATAGAGATCTGTCAACTCACTGACATGAACGATGACATAATTTCAAATTTAGAAGAAAGATAAAAATTTTGGTGTGTGTGGATACGTTTCTCAAATTAATTTCTCGCAAAAACAATATGACTGTTAAATTATTGTGGAATTGCGCTAGGATAATCTTGATCTCGGGATTGTCTTTCGGCGTATAGATTAGAGATTGCGCGAAGCACGAAATCTGGACAAATAGGAGTTGAAAGTAAATGTATGTACCAAATGTCATCTTGCTTGTAGATCAAGAATTCTTTAGACGTAAAATTGTTGATTTTCTCCACAACATACGAACCTCAATACAATTTTTTTATGGTTAAGAAATTATTAGTGCAAAACATTGAGTCAGTGGCATTTTCAACTGTGTACAGATAAGCCCTTTCTGTTATTATGTCTTTATTGTGATTATTCGATCAGTTATTGTTTTCCAATTCTACTTCGGTTTTTGTTTCAGAGCCTATGTTCTGCAATTTGCTACTGGGCATAGTCACTGGTGCAGCGTTGTTTATCTGCGTGCCTATTTGCACTTCTAGATTGTTGAAGTCTAAGTGTTTATGCCCATCTACACCGATTTGTCCAGATTGCGGGCTTACTTATTGAACTGTAAGATTCTCGGAATACTCATGTGAAATGTTACATTTAACTGTGAGTGATACATTTTCCAAAACAATCTAAATGACGTATCCAGAATGATTTGCATGAGTTGTTGTTCTGCAGTAGCTTTGTTTTGTGTGATCATTTGCGGACCCGTATTATGTGAGAGAATGATATGCTGTATTAATCAAGGAAAGAAAAAGAAGCGTTGACAAATTGTAAGATTTGTTTTTGGAATTCTTTTAATACAAGATATTAGATACTAGCATTCAGAGTTTCATTTTTGTCAAACTTTACATTCGGGGTCCGTTTTCGTTCATTTAAAGTGTCGATAGAGATAAGGATGATTCCTAAAACGTTAAGTTATCCCAATTACTAATTTGTTAATTTTGAAATATTTTCATTTTACCAGAAGTTTCTGTTGTTGCAGGTGGGAGTTGGTATCTTATGATTTGTATATCACTGCTGAGTCTATTCAGCGCCGCCGCGTTGGTGATTTGTGTGCCATTTTGTGCTCAAACTCTGCTCCAGCGCAAGTGTTCCTGCCCTCCTGTACCTATTTGTCCAGACTGTGGAATCCCTTACTAAACTTTAAGAATTTACAAATTTAATTTTTTTTCTTAAGTTCTAATACATTTTTGAGACGTATTTTTATTTTGTAAACCAAATTTCTTGGCCACATCAAAAATCAAGCATTCTAAAGTTTTTATATCACCATTTGCATCGCATTTTGTATTTCAAAATGATTTGCATGACTTGTGCCACCGCTGTCGCCGCTGTAGGTTTGATTGCTTTAGGCCCTTTGATTTGTGAAAAATGGTTAAAATGTTTGATGAAAAGCAAGAAGTAGGTAATATAAACACTTTACCAATCATTTAAAATTTAATAAATATCGAATCATTACAACTATTAAAGTGCTTTTATTTAACACCTAGCTTAAACTCAAACCCACAAGACTTCGTTGGTTTTTCCCAATTCACTAGGTTAGGGTAAACTTAACTTTTATTTCATTCCAATTTGTTTCAGTAATTAAAAGTTAACTATCTAGTTTTCAGTGATAATTTCTATTGTTTCAGGAGCAGTAAATTGATGATGAACGTATGGTTTACATATCTTTCATCGGGATATTGGGAGCGGCGGCTGTGTTTATCTGCCTGAGCTTGGGCAGGCAGTACCTCTCCGGCAAAGAGGACGACGAGGGTTGCTGCGTCCAACGAACGTGCGGAAAATGATAAGGAACCTTTAACGACCACTGCCAATAAATACGGCAGTAGATTCTTTGGGACAAGTCAAAGAATATTCTAGAAGATGATTTGCATGAGCTTTGCAACTGCCATTACAGCCGCCGGCTTCATCGTCATCGGTCCACTACTCTGCGAGAAATTCCTCCACTGTTTCATGAAGTCCAAAAAGTGACCGTCTAGTTTCGTTATCTAAGGTCAATGGTGATTTATGTAAAATTTCGTGTGATGTAATAAATGAAATTGCTCAAAATTAGGAAACAATTTTTATTTCTACACTAAGACATACACCGTAATATCACTTGACTGATTCCGCTAGTCTAACAATAATAACATTGAGCGCATACGTATCCTATTACGTACGAAATAAATAAGTTAACAAGAGGTTATGACACTTAAATTTAGTTATTGACTAAGAAAAAGTTTCAGGCTATGTTTGGTCTTTGGGAATTTGATAGCTCTCGTGGTTTTGGGGAGTCACTATAGTGACGAGTTCTTTTTTGTATCTATTACTGTAAGGTTTTCCTAGAATAGCTTCATCTAGCTTAGCTATGACTGCTGTTGGAGTTTGGAAGTTGCCGACAAGTCTGGCTGTGGACGTTGGCCTCACAATTTGGATTTTTTCGTTGTTTACATAAGCAACTTCTTTGCTCTCTTTCTCAGCACTTGATCTATAAAATCTTCTGACTGGTGGAGCCTTTTCCGCTTCTCTGAGGAATGCTGAATCAACTTGAAATGGGGTTTCAAGTTCATCTGTTAGTTGGTGTGGTCTTGCTTCAGCAGCAGTGAAAGCTTCTATTGGCTGTATCTCTTGTTTTATAATTTCAACTATTGGGGATTTGCTTGGTTCTATTGGTTTACTGGTTGTAGTAGTAGTGGTAGTGGTGGATGATGTACTAGGGATAGGAGTAGTAGAAGTAGGCGTATTCTTGAGCACCATTCGTCTTCGATGTTTTCTCTCTGATGAGTCGGATGAAGTCGTTTTTCGTCTTTGTCCGGAACTGCTTTGATTTTTAGCGAAATTGATATCAGCGTTGACTGTAATAAGTTTAAATTCTGAGCTTGTATCTTCTTGACTGGACTTGGGTTTTGTGGGATTATTTCTGGTATTATTGGAACCATTGTAGTTCCTTGTTGCTCTATAAACAGGATGATTTTCTGAAGAGTCTGCTTTATGGTTATTCCTTTCATCAATGGTGGGTACAGGAGTGACTACTTGAACACCATCGGATCCTGCATACTGCTCTGCCGGCTTGTCTTGGTTTTCTAAAATAGTGATAGCATCCTTGATGCCTTCAACGTCTTCAGGGTTGGTTGGCTGACCTGCAATGTTAGAAACAAATTTCAAATCAATTATAACTCAATGTTTCAAATTAATAACATCATCAGATGAATTCCTTTGGCTTAATTATTGACTAGGAGAAATATCATTTTATTTTATTTGTTTAACAATGTTTATTAAGTTTTGCCTATTTGGTATTTGTGTGTGATAAAGTTGTGAATAATTTAGGTATAACATACTAGGCTACACTGATTTCTGAAGGATAGGTTTTTAACACTTGTTCTACTAGGTAAATCATGATTTAGAAGACGTTTTATTACTAAGGCAAAAAAGTTTTGATAAAGAAGATTCCATTACATCATCATCACGGCCTAAAGTCCTAAAGTCTCTCTGCTGTACCATCATCACCATCATCATCATTTCAGCCATAGGACGTCCACTGCTGAACATAGGCCTCCCCTAATGCTTTCCACGTTGATCGATTGGTAGCGGCCTGCATCCAGCGCTTCCCTGCTACCTTTACGATGTCGTCGGTCCACCTTGTAGATGGACGTCTCACGCTGCGTTTTTTGGTACGCGGCCTCCATTCCAGAACCTTGCTGCCCCATCGGCCGTCAGTTCTGCGTACTATGCAGTACCATGACCCTCTCTAAATTTACCAGAAGCAAATGAACAATAGCTCACCGTCTTCCATCTCCTTCTTGTACGACGAGAAGAAAGTCAACGCCTTCATGAGCTGGTAGCTCTTGGAAACTGGGATGTTGGTGTCATAAAGCTTGCGGGTATTCTTGCAGTCCACGTAGAACCACCAGTTGCATTTTAGGATGGTCTGGTCGAAGAGTGTCGATTCAGGGCATAGGAAAGACTTCATGACTAGGCCGTCGTCGGTTAGTGCGCAGACGTGGAACACCTGGAAAATAGTTCATTCTTAATTAGAGCTAGTTTAAAAGAATACAGATACACAGAGATAACAGGGTATTTGAAATTTTTGGAAACTTTGCGGCAGAAAGCACCACGATAACCACGTAGGTACTGTTGCAGTAGGTAAGCTTTCAATTAAAATTGAATAACATTCAATCACGTAAGATAATTTCCTAGGATAAACAAGGGATTAAACATATTTTTAAAAATTCAAAAAATAAATTATACTAAAATCATAGCCCATACTTTATAAGCAAAGGTACTAAACCAAACAATTACCTAAATGAATTAACATTTTAAACACTCTTTAACTTACCATACAACCCAGGGTCTCGTCTCCATACAGTCCGGGGAAGTACTTCTGGTCCCCACAGTGGAAGTCAGTATCAGGCAAGTCCACCTTGGACTGGAAGTGGTCGTCGAAATTCTTCTCATAGCCCACCGGGTAGTATTCTCTGGGCGCGTTCATCACTTTGCCCACTGTTGGGTTTCTAGAATGTAAATTGGGATTAGTGTAGTGTAGAACTTTCATAATATCTGTCAAGGAATACTGATTTGTTTTTAAACCTTTTCTTTTTCAAAAAATCTAAACCTATTTATGAATTAAAATCATCAGCAACAGAACACTGATTTACACAAATCCAAATTACTTGTCTCATACTCATGTCGTCCTCAGATATATTTTTTTTATGCTAGACAAGGCAGGTATTTGACCGCAATCGCACCTGGTGTTAAGTGAGATGCAGTCTAAGATGGTACATATCTGCCCTGTAAGTGCCTATTCATTTAGTGACATAGAACGATTATGCAATTAATGGTTGTATTATCAAAGACAAGGGAAACTAGCGCTTGACGGCAGTAATATTACCAGCACAACTATACAATTAAGGTAAATAAAACCTTTGCAAAACTGCACATCGTAGATCTACAAGTATTTGGCTTGTAATTCTTAATGCTTTATTTGAAACTTTTAACAATACCTCTTTGGTTTCTGCGGAGTAGCCACGAGGATCTCTGGCTCCGGCTGCGGCTGGAAGATGAGCGGCTCCTCCGTCGTGGTCGTCGTCGTGGTAGTCGTCGTGGTCGTCGTAGGCATCGGCAGGTTCGCGTACTTGTTCAACAGCTGCTGCTGCCTTAGTGCTATCGCAGCCTCCACTGCTTCCATTGATATGTTCCCTGCTTTCGCTATCTCTACTATCTTCGCATTTATATCATCTTTGTTAAATTTCAACGTCGTGTCATCACCGTAACCAGTGATAGAATTATAATCGTCAATCTTCTTCGTATTGTAAGCCGGATACATGTTCGCCAACTGATGCACTTGCTGAGGAACTGGATCTAGAAAGTTAGAAACAGGATTGGGCTTTTGGAAAGAATTTTGAGGCGGAACGAACTGTGACGGAACGTGTATGGGGTCTTTGAATGTTGGTGCGGGTATGATAGATATAGCTTGTGTGGGCGGAGCGGCAATAGGCATGGGAATGAATGGGTTAATTGTAGTGGGCATTTGGTAGAGCTTGGGCGTGTTCACTATGACGGGGCTCGGTGTTATTCTGATTAGTGGCGCGTATTGTACTGCAGTCATTTGTGAAACCATTTTTGAGACGTGGTTGTGTGATGATTGAGGGTAATTCTCACTTTGGTACGCGAGGCCGGGGCCTTTGGCCTGCGGGACCTGTAGCGGCGTGTAGGTGGTCTTCGTCGATGATATTGGGACGACCTTCAGAGTTTCTTCTTTTGGCGGGAGGGGCTTGAAAGGTGGTACTCCCATGGGCATGGGTTTGGCCATGGTCACAGTTGGACTAGCTCGTGGGTGGTTTGAAGTGTCAGCTGTGCTTTGGACGACGATGGGCTGCATTGTGGTGGAAACCCTTTGGTGTAGAGAGCTGAGCTTATCCATCGCGGCTTGGTTGGGTCGCGCTGCTACCGGCGCCATCGGTCGCATCATTATTCTGTTCTGCTTGCCGCGTTTCTGTAACAGGATAGGTATATCGTTAGCAATTTCCTTCATTATTTCAATGCACGACGAATGTTAGTAGTTCACTAAGCTTGTTCGAACTTTTTTGCCGTTATGGATCCGTTCCACTGAACCAAATATGTTTGGTCTCGAATCGGATCCGGTTGTGTTTCTATAAACAATTTGCAGTTTAATTGGACAATCTCCAGTTGGTCCGATTAAACGCTTAACCGAATAACGGTAGCACACATCCCTTTTTAGAAATAACGGTATTTCATCTCACCTAGTCTAGGTTATTGAATATTAAAGAAAAAGTGTTGTTTCTCGCTTCAAACCTTATACAGAATGGAATCTTGTTTTTCTAATGGTGAATCAAGAAACATAGAATATGGTCAAACTAATAAGCAATTTATTTCTTAGGTACTCAAACTCATCTGCTGTGATTTTATTAATATGAATCATCAAGTTTTTGTCGGATAAGGGATTGCAATAAAATTGCGTTTTCAATCAGTTTACGACTTTGAGACAGCCGCGTAGGTAGATTAGAAAATGGTGTTTATTGCCTGTGACTTGCAATAAATATTTAATATACGATTTCCAGTCCGGACGTTTCAAGTTTTCAACGAGTTTGTCGGGCTATACTTGATATCGAAGATTTGCGAGATTTAGGAAAAATCACTATAATTTGCATAAATGCATAGTTCTATGATCTTTGAGTTTCAGTTAGACAGACTACAATATTAGGCTGTAATGAAACCTGACAGCTTATAACGAATCGCAGTATGTTTCACAAGTGGCTGAACAAGGGGACAAAATTACCATTGACATTATCAGTGATCTCATTGCACCCACATTCAGATAAATAAAAAAACTAGCGTAAACTACATAACAGCTATTGATTTCTGACCTCGCACACAAACGGGTTAAATAGTAGTTTACAACGAATCTTAGTATTATGTATTATTTAACAGAAAAGGATATCTACAATGAGCGTAATTTATCATTATACCTAATCTGCATCTTATTTTACGAGTATGCAAACTTTTGGATTGACTGTCGTAATTTCGTCATAAGTTTCGATGTGCATTTACAAAAATGAGGTGAAGTGCATTCCCTAAATAAACTGCGAGTCCCCGAAGACTACGGATTTAATCGGCCGATAGTTTGGTCAGCTAACTAGGTCTAATTTATAGACGGAATTGGCTGATACCATATGAGAGAGCTGTAAAGTGCGCATTTCCAATAACAGCCTGTGGCCTGATTCACGTATTTTGACAGTCAAAATCTCGCTGACGTTTAGAAGTCGTCCCATTGAAAAACAGTTCTAAATCCGTATTCACAAGGGTCAAATTACTCGATAGGATCGCAACTCAGTGTTTTGTTGTCGTTGAAGTTTTGTTACTCTAATAAGGCTACTGTGTGCCTACCATGAGTTTACGTTAGGTGAGCTCGCTAGCGAATACGTCAAAAAATTCTATGAAGATTTTATTTCTTGAAAGTAGCCACTAGGGGCGCTGCACAATATGTCATACATTTAAATGTCATTTTTTTACGCAGTCGCTAGCGAGCACACCTAACGTAAACTCATGGTAGGCACACTGATCAATCTATCGGCTGACAAAATGCAGTCTGTGGGGTGACCAAGGGTTACTTCAGATTNTTGTGGTGGAAACCCTTTGGTGTAGAGAGCTGAGCTTATCCATCGCGGCTTGGTTGGGTCGCGCTGCTACCGGCGCCATCGGTCGCATCATTATTCTGTTCTGCTTGCCGCGTTTCTGTAACAGGATAGGTATATCGTTAGCAATTTCCTTCATTATTTCAATGCACGACGAATGTTAGTAGTTCACTAAGCTTGTTCGAACTTTTTTGCCGTTATGGATCCGTTCCACTGAACCAAATATGTTTGGTCTCGAATCGGATCCGGTTGTGTTTCTATAAACAATTTGCAGTTTAATTGGACAATCTCCAGTTGGTCCGATTAAACGCTTAACCGAATAACGGTAGCACACATCCCTTTCTAGAAATAACGGTATTTCATCTCACCTAGTCTAGGTTATTGAATATTAAAGAAAAAGTGTTGTTTCTCGCTTCAAACCTTATACAGAATGGAATCTTGTTTTTCTAATGGTGAATCAAGAAACATAGAATATGGTCAAACTAATAAGCAATTTATTTCTTAGGTACTCAAACTCATCTGCTGTGATTTTATTAATATGAATCATCAAGTTTTTGTCGGATAAGGGATTGCAATAAAATTGCGTTTTCAATCAGTTTACGACTTTGAGACAGCCGCGTAGGTAGATTAGAAAATGGTGTTTATTGCCTGTGACTTGCAATAAATATTTAATATACGATTTCCAGTCCGGACGTTTCAAGTTTTCAACGAGTTTGTCGGGCTATACTTGATATCGAAGATTTGCGAGATTTAGGAAAAATCACTATAATTTGCATAAATGCATAGTTCTATGATCTTTGAGTTTCAGTTAGACAGACTACAATATTAGGCTGTAATGAAACCTGACAGCTTATAACGAATCGCAGTATGTTTCACAAGTGGCTGAACAAGGGGACAAAATTACCATTGACATTATCAGTGATCTCATTGCACCCACATTCAGATAAATAAAAAAACTAGCGTAAACTACATAACAGCTATTGATTTCTGACCTCGCACACAAACGGGTTAAATAGTAGTTTACAACGAATCTTAGTATTATGTATTATTTAACAGAAAAGGATATCTACAATGAGCGTAATTTATCATTATACCTAATCTGCATCTTATTTTACGAGTATGCAAACTTTTGGATTGACTGTCGTAATTTCGTCATAAGTTTCGATGTGCATTTACAAAAATGAGGTGAAGTGCATTCCCTAAATAAACTGCGAGTCCCCGAAGACTACGGATTTAATCGGCCGATAGTTTGGTCAGCTAACTAGGTCTAATTTATAGACGGAATTGGCTGATACCATATGAGAGAGCTGTAAAGTGCGCATTTCCAATAACAGCCTGTGGCCTGATTCACGTATTTTGACAGTCAAAATCTCGCTGACGTTTAGAAGTCGTCCCATTGAAAAACAGTTCTAAATCCGTATTCACAAGGGTCAAATTACTCGATAGGATCGCAACTCAGTGTTTTGTTGTCGTTGAAGTTTTGTTACTCTAATAAGGCTACTGTGTGCCTACCATGAGTTTACGTTAGGTGAGCTCGCTAGCGAATACGTCAAAAAATTCTATGAAGATTTTATTTCTTGAAAGTAGCCACTAGGGGCGCTGCACAATATGTCATACATTTAAATGTCATTTTTTTACGCAGTCGCTAGCGAGCACACCTAACGTAAACTCATGGTAGGCACACTGATCAATCTATCGGCTGACAAAATGCAGTCTGTGGGGTGACCAAGGGTTACTTCAGATTCCTACCTCTTGCTTAGCCGCCGGTCGCGGTGACGAGTCGATGATATTTGGTGGCGCTCCATTCCTGACGCTGACAGATCTCCGTCTGCTGGGGTCCAAGTTTGTGAGGGACTGCTCGAAGCCCAGCTCATCACCGAGGCTGAACCCTGGAAGTGATACACAAAAATGTTTTAAAGACATTTCAAGCGCTGGTCTAGTTATTTTGCATAACAATAATCAAACGGGTCTTTAGTCTGCTTAAACTGAAGAGTGGTTCCAGCTGAGAACAATAGGACAACTCCCACTATTGCGGTAGATGTTATAAAGGGTGAAGCGGGACGACATATTAGTAAACATCAACTTGTCCAGCCAGTGATAGTGGAGCCTCTAGTAGAAACCGAACTGTTGCTACTAAAGAAGTATCAGTAGTAGTTCGGTTCTATATTTCAACCGAGCTACTGCTACTAAAAAGTTGCACTTGACTAGTCGACCGAAATAACAACCAGACTACTGTTACTAGAGGGGAGTGTAGAATGTAGACCAAATCCTCCATTTTGCCTCTGTAGGTTTTGTGCTCCCGCTCTGTGGAGTGTGGAGACTATCAGATGAGATGAGATAAACCCAAATACTTTCCCGTTGTGTTAAAAAAATTAGCACCATCTTTAAAGACAATCGTTACCACGCTGTGTGTCATATTAGTAACACGTTAGTGACCACGACATGCATCGTGACTTTGGCCCTACTTGACCAGCAAATGTGACCGGCAGTCGCCTTTCCAACGATTGATGATTGATGACCAGTCCGACCCTGATACTATCCGAACTGACTACTTATTTTGCTAAGTAACCTCTATACTGAACTTTCCAATGCAATTTTATAATTTGGTGAATGTAAATCTATAGAGAAAGTAGCGATAGGTAGTAGCAACTAGGTATATGCATTATTAATTATTACTGGTATTATTTTTGGTTATAAGGAGCAATAGAAAGTTGTAAGTAATTTAAATGAGATCTCATTTTATTTTGTAGTGCTCCAAAAATACGTGAACTTTTAAAAATGAGATCATACTGAAGCTTAAGACGCACTTACCACATTATGGGCTATAATAATACCGATTCATGATACTGGGGGCAACTGGGACATTATTTTTACGAATTCCCAGTTGCCCCCAGTGGGGGCGACGCCGGTGGGGGCGACTGGGAATAACCGTAAATAAAAAAGGTATCGATTACTTGGTAGAACTTACCTAAGCTGGCATGTGCTTTGAGTCCTCCAAGGTTCCGTACCCTGAAGAGGCCAGACTTTTTGAAGGCACAGTTTATTTTGAACCCAAAGTCTGATTCTAGCACGCATGTTGGCTGCGAGAGATCTGGAAAAGAAAAACATTAACTTAATTTAAAGATGTTATTAAATCTATATCTATAAAAGCGAAAGATCACTCATTGACTGACTCACTCATCACGAAATTTCAGAAACTACTAGTGCTAGGAGTCTCAAGTGCATGAGGGTTTCTTTTTACAAGCTTTATATTGACTTCACTTGTTAGTATGTGTGGGACAAATCTTGCAACTGAATTTAAGACCAGTTCTCCTCAACCGATTGAGCTGAAATTTGGTATACTTATGTAAGTACGATGACAATGCAATATTATGGTACCATTGAGCTGGTCTGATGATGGAGTCGGGAGGTGGCCATAGGAACTCCTAAACATTACGGCGGAAACTCATCGAGTTTGGGTTCGTTGGATTTGTCTTTTCGAGCACTTTAGTGTTAGATAATGTCCAGGGTCCTGAGATTAAGAAATAACTAAAAAGTGTAAAATAAAATTATAATAAAAATAAACTTTTTTAAAAACAAGCTTTTATTCTGAATTTCGAAAGCTTGTAGCGCAAACAGAGAAAAAGAGGAATAAATTCCATGCGCGATACAAACTTTCGAAATTCAGAATAAAAGCTTGTTTTTAAAAAGTTTATTTTTATTATAATTTTTTTAGATTGTAAGTGCTCACTAAGACGGGATTTTGCAAAATTCAATACCTTACGAGGTTAAACGGGATCTTATTTATTTATTTTTTACCTTAAAATTAAACAAACAAAGTAAAAGGGACTTGATCTTTTGGCATTAGTTTATTTCATTCTCATTCACAGTCATTAACAGTTCATTCTTGGTCATTCGACGATAAAGTTTTGCATAAGTGCGGGGTTTTCCTTGTGATGCCGAGCGGGCGTGACCAGCCAGGATATAAGGCGATTTGACCCAGATTTCACTTGAGCTCGACTATAAAGTATAGTCTGACTATATCGGCCTACGCAGTCAATGCTGTGTTTACCTTACTGTGGCTTTGTTATTATTAGGAGATTTGTTTTGATCTTGTAAAATGTCCTTAGTGTACGAGTAAGAGGTCTAAAGAAGCTTACTCTGCTAAACGCACGCATCTTATGGATCGCGCGGAAAATAGTTTTTATGTTTCATCATTTTTTGTTATTGCTCTTTTTGGTTTGTTTTGGGGGCAGACGTGATGCCCTAAACAATTGCTTAATTTGCTTAAGGGTTAATTCGGCTCATATTGTGATGTGGTTATTAACTTATACTTAGTCAATTTGTATAAATTTCAACAAAATACGACAATATACGTGGACAGCTACCATCTCAATTTTAATAAAAATCTACTTGTTTTAGTTTTAATTTTACATTTTAATCTATTTGCTCTGTCGCAACCTGTAGGAATGATGGCACTAGTAATGATACTCGAGTAAGACAATCTACTTAGACAATCTCTTTCCTTGGTCTTATTATTATACTCATAACTAATCAAGCTTTATAAGCATCATTCAGTTAAGTGGTAACTCAAGGCTGTCTCCAGACACATCTGAAGTAGTTAGTGCTAATGATCATCTAACTGAGCAAATAAAACCTGAAGGTTTGTTTCGTTTAGGTTTCACTCGTCATTAAGTACTACTTAAGCCAAGGCTTTGGATAAATGTGGCAACCTTTTTTGATATTCTTACCGCTCAAGTTCATTAGTGGTACCTAACCTACTTAAATTTTTATTCTGTTTTGTACATTTTCGAAATTTGATTAGGGACGTACATCTTGTCTCCTTTAGAATGTATATCACGCCTTTTATTATTAAGGATTTTTATAATCTGTTTTTATTTAGGGACTTTTGTCCTTTATTAAGGTTGTAACAGCGTGTATATCTACTTTCATAAAAATTGCTAAAATATACTGCAAAAAGAGCTACTAACTTTAAATTTAAATATTTTCATTTCCTAGTGCCTACCCTGTTTAAAAAAGTTTGTTGACAGACTAATCCAGAAGCTGTTGCAACTTTAACAACAAACCAACCGCTTTAATTCAACCTTTTGTAGCAACCCCATCATCAATGTTCCAACCATTATTTAGTTATTAAAATTAATGTTCCGACTCTCCGTTAGCACGTAATTTAAATAATAATTCCAGTAGTAACGTTGCGACAGTAATCTGCGTTTAGTAACACATAAACAGTGGCGTGCAAGAGCCAGGAAGGCAGTTACATAAACAATAATCAGCTGACGAACGACAAAGTTGGGGAAATGGCCCATGAGGTGACCACAACCTGAATGCAGTAAAGGTAAGCCTACACATAAGAGACTAGGTATATGAAATATTTGACGGGTTACAAAGGTATAGTTTCTTATGAATGTAGCCATGTAGCGGTTGTCAAACGGCTTTGCAGAATTTAACTCCCATGTCCTCCCTAACAGATTAAATTTCAAAAGTCACTTTTCTAAGCGATAACATATTTGAAATTTCAGCTTTCTAGGCACAACTTTTGACTGTACCTGCACATTTATCCTTCTCTGGAAATCAAGCTTTACGTTGTGGTAAATAGTCTACTGTTCAATCGTTTTCAACTTTGTCAGACAATGGCTTTCCTCAATAATTTTAGACAGGTATTTTTGGCAGGTTGCCTAGTGTTTTGAAACAACGGGTCAAATCAATAATAAATATTTCACATAAGTTGAATTGCACCAAAAGTTAAAGTAAGATGGTGCAACTCAGCCTTCATTTCAAATATTTTTCCTATGAAATTGCTTCAATAAAATACTTGAAGACACGTGGAATGCTATTGTTACTGTTTATTTTTATTTACTTTTAAATTCTTCTGTAAAGTTTTTCCTGATAATTAATCAATATTTGTGACTCATCCATCATTTCACAACTAGACACACAAACAAAAATTAATAGATCTATTAAATCAATTACGCTGACGTAGTAGTTGTTACCCAATTACTTAATTAATCAATCGGTTAATTAAAAGATAGTGCAACACTGTTTAATTCAGTTCCTTCCGTTATTGCGCTCATTTCGTATGGATGATTCAGTTTTTGTGTGTTGCTCAATATTGGATACTGATTATAATGCAAAGGTGAGATAAGAAATAGGTAATTATTCGCACGAAGTATTTTAGAAACTCCGATCTGCACAAGGTTTTTATTTTATTTATTAAATGAATTGATGATTTTATCTGAGAGCAGTTTCTGTATAACTTAACAACTCCAAGATTTTGACGAATAAAGATCTAAAATACAAATCTGCCACTGTTAAGTTAGTTACTGCGCTATTACAACCATGGACTTTAGTTTACATTTACATTAATGGTCTTCAAAGTAGGTATTTGCTCACCTATTGCCTCACTAGTGGCATGAGAGGAATGTGATGGTAAATAAGATTTTTATATTTATATTTTGATCAATCCGTCTAATTGAGCCGTAACCATAATGCTTATCAAAATCTAAAAAGATTTAACTCATACAGGGTGTGTAATATTCCATCAATGACATATCACATCCTGCACCAGTTCCAATGACATAACGGCGTGTGTCATCGCCGGTGACTTGTGGGTGAAATGGTAGTCCGGTTCGATGCCCGTCGAGGCGGATGTTTGGGAGAAAGGCTGCCTCACTAGTGGCATGGTCAGCAGAACTGTGAAGACTCGCGCATTGTTGTTTATTAAGAAAGTTGTAAGGTGCGGTAGTTTTCATAGATGAGCTATTTTTAACACAGTGTTGCTATGGTCTAGTCATAGTGATAATAATATGAAATTTCAAAAAGTTCATTAGGTACCTACTTAAAATCTTATTTATCAACTTCATTTAAAATCACATTTAGTAAATTATATGCTAGCTTTTAATATAAAGGAATCGCTATTGTAAACGGTAATTAGAGTGGATTCTACCAAAAATTAAACGCTAACTTGTTTGTACCTACTTAATAGCTTAAAAAGCTTTGCGGTCGAATAAGTTAAGTCATTAGCGATTTTTCTGTCTTCAAGCATAAATGGTTTAGCCATTTGCACAATCATTTGGTCATTACCTATGACCCCATATGCTATGAAACCATTAAGGTATATCGTACAGACATTTCCGTAAACGAGAATTTGAAGAGTAACCAAAGAACAGTTCATTTGAGATTGCGGTAACAAATAATCAAGATTTTTGCTCACCGAACTCTGACAGAGCACACTGAAGGCCAACTGTGCTTAGGCTGAGTTGCACTACCTAACTTTGACAGCAACTATAACGATAACCGGTGTTTTTTTTTTTTTAGTTTGACTGATTTTTGACGTTTGTCAAAGCTAAATTATGGTGGTGCAACCGAGCCTTAGCTTGTCGGGAATCAATATTCCACAGACTAAGGAAAAAAATGAAGCCTCTGAGTGCTTTAAATTATTACAACACAAAATTACTTCAATGAGTTAAATGTGCCTTTGATCTTATAGAAACGTGGGTGTCAGACTATTGCACTTCTATTTTTGTATTGACCAAATCAATTTTAAGAGCTAACCAGTTGCTTTCACAATCAGATTTGCTAATGCTCTATGTAACAAATGAATCATGAAAAGGACTTATCTATTACGTTGTGTACGAGCTTAGGACTGCTTTTGATAATCGTTATGTAATGTCTCTACCATTATCGCCTTTTCACATCAGACCTTTGTAGCATAGCGCTCTATAAAGAGGACCTATGACCTACTGATAAATAGAATGTATCTAACATAAAACTTATTTAATTACGTGTGCACTAAAAATAGGTTTTTTTAAGAATCTCTGATAACACAATTTTCAATTGTTATCTACGTGAAGTTAGGATTATTAACTTCTCATGGAACGTCAATCAATTCGATCTAGAACACAAGTATTTTTATGCTTGCTCTGCTGTATCAAAGGCGATTAATAGGTATATTAAAAATATCGCACTGAAAGTATGTTTCTAAAATGTAACGATTGATAAAAACTATCTTAGTAAAATACGATTAAACAACAAAACAGTATTAAACACAGTGCACTCGTACGCTTCACATCCAAAGAAGGAAAAGTGAAAATT